ACACTGTTTTTCCTTGCAGGCCAAAGCTTTCTGCAACTATAAGGTAAGCAGATAGGAAATTATAGTTTCATATGCATATGGAAAGTTTTTAAGAATCATATATCACCTAGCAGGAGGCACACCTTTAGAAGGGTATTTTCAACGCTAACAAAATAATTGTGAAGGCAATTTAGTTGACAAGAATTGTCACAGGGACGAAATCACTCCTTTTAATGAGGGAGAAGTTAATTGTTGATATAGATGGTTATGAGTCATATCCATAGCAAGCTTTTAAGTAAAGTTTTACATGTCCTTTAATGGAGGTTGGAGGTTGTTCTTAAGCATGTCTCACTTACCTAATGGAGATCCAGGGTAATGCATAGACTGTATAACCTGTGCTGGTTAAGTGCCAGGCACAATTCTAAACACTTTGCAGGTATTAATCGCAAGTTTACAAGGTATGTACTATTTGTATCTTGATTTTAAAGTGAGGAAACTGAAGCCTAGAGAAGTCACAAGTAACTTGTCCAGGCCTCACAGCTAGTGAGTGGCAGAGCTGGAATAGCCTCTGGGTGCTCTTTTTCATGACACTGTCTGCTATCCTATTGCAGGAAGCAGGGTGGGCTCATCTCAGCCTTTTTTACTCATTTAGTGACCTTGGGCAAGTCACCCAGCTACCCAAACTCCATCTTCCCTGTCTATGGGACAAAAGACTTCCTGTACCTATTTCACAGGCTGTGGGGGAAGGACGAGCACATGGAATAGTGGATAGAGCCCTTTATGAACTGCAACACCAATGTGGGGTGCCGGGTTAGTTCCAGGGGGTAAATGGCTGCATCCCAAAACAAAATAGCTCTGATTTGTGGATTTGCTTTACATGATCACCATTCTTTTTGTTTGTTTTTTTCTTTTTTGAGATGGAGTCTCGCTCTGTTGCCCAGGCTGGAGTGCACTAGTGCAATCTCAGTTCACTGCAACCTCCGCCTCCCAGCTTCGAGCGATTCTCCTGCCTCAGCCTCCCAAGTAGCTGAGATTACGGGCACCACTATGCCTGGCTAATTTTTTGAATTTTTAGTAGAGACGGGGCTTCGCCATATTGGTCAGGCTGGTCTCAAACTCCTGATCTTAGGTGATCCGCCTGCTTTGGCCTCCCAAAGTGCTGGGATTACAGGCGTGAGCCACCACACCCTGCCATGATCACCATTCTTTTAACATGTTAGTGATTGTATACATAACAATTGACTCTACTAGGAAAAATGTATTCCCACAAGAGGGAAATTATCCCAAATTCTGTACGTGATACACTTTAGTTAAAATAGAAATAATGTATTTCTAAACTCACATTCCTCTAGCATCCCTACTCCCACCTTCCAGACCTAAACTACTGGTATTCAGCCACCTGAGCTGGAGTGCAGTGGCAGGATCTCGGTTCACTGCAACCTCCTCCTCCCTGGTTCAAGCGATTCTCACTTGAAACGATTTCCGTGCCTCAGCTTCTCGAGTAGCTGGAATTACAGACGTGCACCACCATGCCAGGCTAATCTTTTGTTAGAGACGGGGGTTTCACCATGTTGGCCAGGCTGGTCTCGAACTCCTGAGCTCAGGCAATTCGCCCGCCTCGGCCTCCCAAAATCCCGTGATTACAGGTGTGAGTCACCCTGTATTTATAGACGCCCAGCCTATACTTAGCTTCTCTTTCGCTCTCCAGATAGCCTTTTGCCTTGAACCCACTTCGCCTCTTTGGAACTGCCACACCTCCGGACTTCAACCTGTGACCTGGGTGCCTCAGGTGTGCCTGCAGGGAAGAGAAAAGAAAGCAGAAACATCGAGATCCAAAGCTCTCCTTAAAGGGGGGGGAAAAATAAATCCTCCTCGTGGGAAGTGGGTGCTGACTTAAACATCAAAGACAACAGGTAAACGTCCATTGTGACCTTCCACTCTGTAGCTAGGCTGACAGCAACACTGAGGTCCTCAGCAATTTCTGCCTCCCGCCTTCCTGCGCCCCCAAACGCCCCTTTCACCTCTTTCTCTCTGCAGCCCTCAACCACATTTGACCTAAATTTCCTAAGCTCCTGGTTTACATGTGAATGCACAGCATGGCAATTTGTTCCAATGAGGAGCCCTGAGGTCTGCGCCAGTCGCTCTCAGGGGCACGTTTTGTGCCAAGCAGGATGTTCAAGACAGACGGCGCGCCGGTTTGGGGCACCGCGGAACATGGCTTCGCTGTTCCGTTTCCAATTTACAGCCTGAAGGTAAAAAGTACACTGATTAAATCCACATTAGGAGGAGCAGCGGGGGCGGAAAAAGCGAGCGGGGGAGGAGGCCGCGGGGCTGCCTGTTGCCCAGCAACGATGCCAGCCGCAGCCTGCGCTCCCCAAAAGCCCGGGAGCACCGCGGCAGGCTGCCGGAAGGAGGATGGGGCAGGAACGCCGGCGGCTAAAGGAGGTAGGGGGCAGAAACCCTGATAGGGAGCCATGCAACCCGCTTTCTCACCCTGGGAGACTACGCAAGGCTTTTTTTTTTTTAATACTGATGTTCCAGATCAAAAAGTGCACTGATCAAATCCGTATTGGGAGGATATGATTGATTGATTGATTGATTGATTGATTGATTTGATTTTATTTTTGAGACGGAGTCTCGCTCTGTCACCCAGGCTGGAGTGCAGTGGCCGGATCTCAGCTCACTGCAAGCTCCCCCTCCCGGGTTCACGCCATTCTCCTGCCTCAGCCTCCTGAGTAGCTGGGACTACAGGCGCCCGCCACCTCGCCCGGCTAGTTTTTTGTATTTTTTTAGTAGAGATGGGGTTTCACCGTGTTAGCCAGGATGGTCTCGATCTCCTGACCTCGTGATCCGCCCGTCTCGGCCTCCCAAAGTGCTGGGATTACAGGCTTGAGCCACCGCGCCCGGCCTAGGAGGATATGATTTAATCAGTGTACCGTTGAAATTCCCCCACACCCCTCCCCGCGACTACCCTGTCTCCCACTTCTCATTGGCCAGTAACTTTCCAACACAGGCCCAGTGGCAAAGACAGCCAGCCTTTCCCTGCCTGGCTGGTCAGAGTTTCCTTCTGAAAGAAGCAAAAGGCTCAGCTCCAGCTTTCGGGCTTAACTGCTCAGCAAGGCAAGTCAAAGTCCCTGTGGCTGGCCCAGAGGGCCTGGTAGCTGGAGAAGCTGGATGGCGAAGCATAGGTACCAGCTTTCACCACAAGGAGGACAGCGCCCTCTGCTGGCAGTATCCTGAAGGGTCAATTCACCGGGCTTCTGGTCCCCGCAAAGTTTTGGTCTGTGGTGCTGATACAGAACAAATATGGTGAGCTCATTCTTGCCCTCTGGAGAAATAACGATATGGAAGGGAGAAAAACTGGGGCAAGAAGACCGAGGGAAGATAGAAGGTCCATTGCAGGAAGTGTGGCCTTATTTTGGGGGTTCTCCTGATCTGGCAAGGACGAGCACAAAAGCCTCATATTTATTTCCCCATGGAAAAACCCAGCACACAGCCGAAGTCCAGTTTAATGGGAAGATGGCAGATGCCCCTACTCCCGCCCCCGTGCTCCCCACGCCCAGCCGGGCTGGGGGTGCTTTGTTTGAAATACACAATTCCCATTGGCTTAATGGTTATGTTGGCTGTGTTTCTTTTTTTTTTTTTTTTTGAGACGGGGGTCTCACTCTGTCACCCAGGCTGGAGTGCTGGAGTGTATTGGCGCAATCTCGGCTCACTGCAACCTTCGCCTCCCAGACTCGTGATCCTCCTACTTCAGCCTCCCAAATAGCTGTTTCTAAGAATACCACAATGGAATAATGCAATAGGGTCCGTACAGGGCAAAAGGCAGAAATTAGTTGCTTCCATCCAGAACATGTCTCTGGGTGTGTTTGCTAGGCTGAAGACCTTGGAGCAGAGGCCCTGCCCACTGTGTTCAAAGGGGCAAAGCAAAGCATAATGTTAGAACCCGCAAAGGCCTCAGTAGGAGCCCCATGTGTTTTTTATAAAAAGGCATAATGTGAGCATTGTTCTGTGCTCAATAGCACAACTGTTATAACAAATGCTTTTGGTATGAATATGACCATTTAAAATCCCCAACCAGTTGCACTTGATGACAACACGCATCAGAAAACAAGCCCAGGAGCAGAGATTTCTCACTTGGGGGTCAGTTGGATTTAAATGCACATAAACATGCCATTTAATGTGCCCAACTTCCAAAAACACACTGAATATTTGTGGAACAATGTTCTTGGCCCCAGCATTTGTAGCTACAAAGGCTGAAGCAGATTTTAACGTGTGTATCTGAGAAGCTAACTTTGATTCTGTATACATGGGGTGGATGCACAAATTGAGGAGTTCTATGTGTCATACCACTCCAGCCCCTAACTTCCCACTACCAACCATGGCCCACCTTCAGATTACAACCACTGCTATGTCTCCAGGTCCTTAGTCCCAGCATGGAAGGTCTTGAGATCTCCCACCCCTCACCTTCAGCTCCCACCCTTGACTGCCTGCCTCAGGCCTGGCTAACCCAGTGGGGTCTCTGAAAGAGAGGAGGATAAACAGTGTTGATAACATAACTGGAAGAAGACAGTGCTTTCTGGGTCTTGGAATGAGTGTCCCCGGATGTTCAAGTATACTGAATATTTGTCAGGGCATTTAGGCAGCAGAGCATCTGAGCCCATTTCAGTAGCATGAGTCCTGAAAGGAGACAGGACTCCTACTTTCACTACTGAAGCTGGGATGTTGGCTAGAAACCAGCCACGGAATCCGGACTCAGCCAATCAGACCTAGGCCTTTGTGGCTGTGACACAGTCACTGGAACAGTTAGGAAATATTGGTGACAGTAGAGCTGAAAACCCAGTATTCCCCTGGTCCCTCCTGTTTTCAAGCCAGGTTCTCCAGGCTAACTAGACATTGGCAGGGTTGACTGATATTCCGCCAGCAAATCCCTATTCTGCTCTAGTCAGCCAGGGCTGGTGACTGTGTAAACAAGACCCCTCTCACTCCTCCCACAGCTGTGCTGAAGGTGACACACACACTTCTCTTAACAATTTTTATTGAAGAAAAAATAGGCTGTTTTGCACCTTAAGTGCTCCTCTATCTTCTCTCCTCCCTCCAACCAACCCCTGCCAGCCCCACACTCTCATCACAAAATGGGGGAACACTGCAGTTTTTAAGATCCATAAATTAATTACCAAATAAGACCTGGGCGAGGTCACATGAGAACACTTTGGAGGAGTATCTTAGAGAGGCCTGGCCTGGGTCCTCCCCAATCCCTCAAGGGAAAAGCAGAGAATAAATCAGCATCACCCCACTTATGTGGTGAGAGGTAGGGGCGGTGCTCCCCACCCTCTCCACCTATAACTAGGTAAGGAGAAGAGGGAAGGGCGGCTGAACTGGAGGACAGGTCCCTGGGGGCCGGGCAGGGCTGGGAGACGGGGCATGATGACCAAGGTCGTCCCTGATGGCGTCCAGTTGGTCCTGAAGGAGGCGGATGCGCTCGTCCAGGCTGCGCTGCTGGGCCAGGACGGCGGCCTTGCCGGCCAGCAGGGCGCAATAGGCGCGCAGCTCCTCCACGGGCAGAGCTCGCACCAGCACCTCCCGCACCGCCCGCTCGCGCCGCGCCACGTTGTCCTTCAGCTCCTTGGCGTCCTCCTCCTGCCGCTGCAGTAGCCGGAGGCGCTGCAGCAGGGAGGCCTGGAGCCGTAGGAAGAGGAGCCGTGAGCCAGGCGAGGGCGCCGCCGCTCCCGGAATGGTTCCAGCTGGAGGCAGCAGGCCCCTCACTGCCCTACTCCCTTGCAACCTGAATCCCTTTTACCTGCTCATCAGGGTCGCTGGCTGAGGCCGCCCGGGCCAGGGCGCGGCGCACGCGCGCCAGGCGACTGCCCAGCAGCAGCAGGAGGCCAAGCACGCGCTCTAGGTCGGCCATGAACCGGCTGAACCGCTCCAGCTCCCGAGGGGCACAGGCCTGGCGCACTGCAGCCTCCAGAGCCGCTTGGCGCCTGGCCCACGCTTGGGCCTCCCCCCGCAGCCGCTCCTGCTCCGTGTGAAGGTCCTGAAGCATCTTTTGGAGGAGGGCGGCCAGCTCCACCTGCAGGGAAGGCTCAAGGCTGGGGCCAGGCTCACGACTTCTCTGTCCAGGCTCTGGGCTTCTACCCACCCCCAGCCTCCACCAGCCCCTCTCCACTCACTTTCTTGCCCTGGATGCTGTTGTTTGGTGCAAGGAGCCCCTGGCCACATGGCTGGTCAGGCACAGGGTGGGTGGCAGGGTTTTCAAGCCTTGTCTCCTCCTGAGGAGCTGGCAGGAGCTGGGTGAAGCTGAACTGATAGGACCTGGGAACAAAGCCAGAGCTCCCTGGGTTTCCTGTCCCCGACTTCAGGGGCTCAGTGTCCAGAATCCCCGGTACCCCTCACTCACCCTGGCTCAAAAGTACTGGCAGCCTCCTCTCCAGCCTCCCCACAGGCAGGCGGCATTGCAGCCCGGACCTCTGCTAAAGGAATCAGCCCATCCAGCAGGCCCAGGGGTGGCTCTGGGCTGGGCTGGGAAGCAAGAGGGTCAAGTAGAGAGGGATCTAATCTGGCCAGCTCCTGAACCAGTTCCCTGAGGCACTGACTGGGCCATGGGGGCCTGGAACCAGGCTGGCCAGTGCCCCTATCCAGGGCAGTTTTGTGAGGGGGACCTGGAGTATCATTGCCTGAAAGTCCCAAGGCATCAACTGGAAGAGGTTTGAGGAGGTCACTCTCTGCAGCTGTAGGGGGATTGGTGGTCAGTCCAGTGGGGTCAACAGTTGAGATGTTATCATTTGCAGTCCCAGTGGGGATGTGGCTTGTGGGCCTGGAAATACCTACAGAACCATTCACCCCCTGCCAGCAGTCATCTGCCCCTGCGGTTCCTGGACACTCATGGAGCGGGTACTCTGGAGGGACTGCAGCCTGGCCAGTTCTTTGGCCTAAGCCAGTTCCATACTGCTGGTCAGAGGCATGGACACTGGAAGCAGAAAAGACACTGAATCAGAAAAAGCTCCAGCCACAAACAAATGGTGTCCTCCAAGGGCCATCTGTCCCTGCCCCCATCACCTGGACTCCCAGGCTCCAGCTAGGAGAGCGTACCCCTCTAGCGTTTTGTAGATGTGTCAGGGGCATGCCTCATGATGCTTGGAAGTGAGAGGGAATTACCTGGCTGGGGGCCCCTGGGAGGCATGGGGGTCTGGTGGTGATCTCATTCTGACCAGCGGGGCCTCTTCTAGGAACACTTCATCAGGAAGGGAGGGGAGCCGGGCATGCACAATGCAGGTCTCTGAGACCCTCTGCTCACCATCAGCAGGGCTGCTCTGGGGTACCTCTGCAGGATACACCACTGCTGCCTCCTTCTGAGGCAAGAACCTGGAGGCAGGGACCCCGCAGTTACCACAGTGAAAGGAAGGAAGCTCTCGGTGTTGCACCAGGGAGACAGTAGGGTGTTTGCAAAAGAACCAGAAGGCTCAGACTGAGGTTAGGTAGGAAGCCCTTTCATTTTTTGGGCAAAAGCTATGCAAGCTGCCTCCCCCCAACTTGGTCCAGAGTGGTCTATGTCTCTCACCTGGAAAATCTGGTCTGAAACAATGGTCTGGGGGTTTCTGCTCCTTGGGGAACAGCCTGGAAGGGTGAACAGTCGACTGAAATGTGGCTCAAGTTTTGTTTCCCAGATGCTTCCCCTACCAGCCTGCATTTCCTGACTTCCATACCTGGACAATGGGTATGGTCCCTTCTGATCCTCCCCAGGAACCCAACACTTCGCCCGAAGCGCTCCGACTCCGACTGGCGGGCCCGTAGGCATCACCAAGCTTCAAGGACCCGGAGTCTGGGTCTGTCGAGCCTTGGGGCTGCGTCTCTGGCAGCCATCCGACCTGGTGATCAAACTTAGCCAGCGCCGGATGCTGGAACTCCAAGGGCTCAGGTCCCGGGAGGCCAGAGCTGCAGCAGGCCTCACCCAGGCATTCCCCCGCCGGCCCACCGCCCCGACCCACACTATCCAGCTTTCCTGGCTCCGAGAAGCACCACTTCCGCTGCTGGTTGGCTAGGGGACCCCGGCTGGCAGTTCCTGGCGCGGGAGCCCGGGACCGCGCCGGCTCCCCCTCCCCACCGCCCGGGTGGCTGAGCGAGGCCGAGCGCGGGTGAGTCGCCGGGGGCCGCGCTGGGACAGTGGGTCGCAGGCGGGCAGGCAGGCTCATGCGGAGCTCCTTGCGCTGGAACGACGTCGCCCGTAGCACTCGCCGCTGCGCGCCCTGCAGCCGCTGGCGGTAGGCAGCCCTCGAGGCCGGCGGGCTGGGCGGCTCGGCATCCCGCGTCGCGGCCTTCGCCTCCGCAGCCAGCGCGTACAGCAGCGGGGTGGCCTGCCTGTTCAGTGGCCCCAGGGTCCCCGGGACCTCTGGTGACTGCGGCCCACTGTGGGCGGCGACCGCAGGCCGGGCCCGAGGGGATGTAGAAAGGGCAGCGTCGGGTGGAGCGGGGCCCAGGCCGCCAGAAACCACGCGCACGTAGTCCCAGTCTAGGTAAGGAAGGAGGTCTGTCCCCGGCGATGGCGTGCGCGGCTCGGGGCCGCTGGAGGCTGCGGAGAAAGAGCTGTAGGCCGAGTCCCCGCGCATGGACAGATGCCAAAGGTCCAGGCCGCTAGTGGACGAGGCCGGAGAGGCGCGGTTGCCCCCAGGACCCAGCGCCTCCATGGCTCCGCAGATGAGTGCTGAGGCTGGCTGGCTGCGTAGGTCCTGGGAAAACACAGATGTGGTGCTGGATGAGGAGCACCGGGTGAGGGCTGGGACAGCCTGCTGGCCCTGCCACCATGGACGGCCAGACGCTTACACTTCCCCTCCCTGGTCACACCGTCACAAGCGCTGGCGTCCCCCAGTTTTTGGCAGAGTCACCTTGGGATCAGAGGTGGCAGAAGAAGTAGGACCAGTCCCAGGGAGCACCTCTGAAGGTTGGGGGCCCAACTCAGGGGAAGGAATTGGGACCAGCTCATTCCCTGCCAGGCTCCCCTTGCCCACAAGCAGCCCTTACCCTGAGACCTCCTGGAATGCTGAGAAGGTACCCATGTTCCTTTCCTCCCCAACCCTGTTCCACCCAGGCTGCTTCCTGGCTGCTCTGTTGGCTTCTTTATGTGATCTTTCCCTGATAAACAATGGTCAAGAACACTCTTGAGACCTCAGGGGAGCTAAGAAGGGGTGGGGGAAGAGCCAGGGCAAGGGGCAGAGGTGGCTTCACAGCCTTCATCCCTCCCTCTGTGCCTGTTATGTTCCAGGTGCTTTATATAAATATTTATTTTGATCATCACAACTGCTGTCTGCATTTTACAGACGAGGACAATGAGGTTTTGAGGGGGGAAATGATTTGTCCAGGGCCACACAGCTGGGAAGTGGCAGAAACCTGCCTGGAATCCAGGCCTGCGTCCATGCTCACTGCAGCCAGAATCAATTTCCTAGAAGCAAGCCTCCTGAAAGGCAGTTTACCATCCCTCCTGCCCTGGCAATAGCCTGAATCTCCAAGGAAGCCCACACTCCACTACGGGAAAGTCACCCCTACCTCCCCACACACTATTAGCAGATTCCAAAATAATTTGGTCCCTACTTCTCAGACTCTGCCTTTTGTTTATGAATGATGGGCCGACCCCCATCTCTGCCCTGCTTCTATTCTTGCTTCTCCTGTAGGACTCAGCTTAGAGGTCTCCTCACCTTTTGGGATCCCTGCAGTGTGCTGAGCTGCCCCCATCACCCCACACTGTCCCTGTTGGCTTGCTTCTGATTCCCTCCTCCCATTCCCACCGGAGCTTACTGAGGACAGGCCCTGCTCTTCTTCATTGCTGCACTCTCAGTGCCCAGCAGAGTCCCTGGCGTATAGTCAATGTTAAACAAATATTTGGGCCGGGTGCAGTGGCTCACACTTGTAATCCCAGCACTTTGAGAGGCCAAGGTGAGTGGATCACTAGGTTAAGAGATCAAGACCATCCTGGCCAACATGGTGAAACCCCGTCTCTACTAAAAATACCAAAAATTAGCTGGGTGTGGTTGTGCATGCCTGTAGTCCCAGCTGCTTGGGAGGCTGAGGCAGGAGAATTGCTTGAACCTGGGAGGCAGAGGTTGTAGTGAGCCAAGATCACACCACTGCGCTCCAGCCTGGCAACAGAGTGAGACTCCGTCTCAAAACAAAACAAAACAAAACCCCAAATATTTGCTGAATGTCAAGGGAAATAACAGATTTGCAGGGAGTAGATATAGGGGTAGCCTTGGTGGAGAAGGAAGAGAGCTCCTTAGCTTCTGCACACCCTTCTTCCCTCCCTATTAGTCTTTTCTGGGGAAGAGGACAGAATGGGTGAAGCACTTGCCACCATAGACACTGGCCAGGTTCCTCATGCAATATGAGGTACAAACAGAGCAGGCAAGCACAGCTTGGGGCAGGTCTGACCAGAAATCGATCCCTTCTGGTCCTGGGATGGGGATCAAGGGTAAGAGTTGAGTGGGTGTGCCTGGGTCAGGGCAAGAGCAATTTTGAGGCTTGGGAAAGGGCAATGTTGAGGCTTGGGGCTCCCTATGAACTATGGAGACTTTGGGGGGCTGGCCTGTGTTCTCTGAGCTGCTTGGTAGGGAATGCAGAGCAGGGTGATTTGTGGCTAGGCTGAGGACCAAAAAGCAGGCTTATCTGAGCCTCCTAGACACTATTTGGAGCTCAGAGTCACCCTCCACCCACATCCCTGAGGCCCAGGATGTTACAGATTGCTGGTTAGGGCAAGCACAGGGGTTAGTGGTAGGAGGATATGGTGTTTCCTAAAAGGGAAAGGCAGTACCTACAACATTCCCAGGAGAGGATCTCAGCAGACCTAGGACCAGAACATCTTGATGTCACCCACCTGGGGGCATCTGTATATGCCTACTAAGCCCAGGAAGTTAGCCCTCACACTTAGGGTTGGGGACCTCTTTTGCAAAGTATTTCCACTCTAAACTTCAGGAGGACGAGAAACTACTCTGAGTAGCAGCTCCCGGGAGGACAGTCACCTCATCTAGGAAGCCCAGCCGACTGCTCAGACATTATTAGCCCCTTCTCCTCCTACTCTTTCTGAGTTCAGCTTGGGAGCACTAGCTCATGCCACCCATCGTGTCCATTTTGGCTTCCTGCAGGTCTTGAAAATCGATGAAAATCTATCTTATTTGTGAGTTACTGTGTTAAAGGATTCTGAATTCAACAAATAAAAACAGCTTGAATGGGTGATAAAAATGTGTCTACACATCTGTTTCCTTATTGACTCCAACTTGCTGAAGATGCTTTTGCATCGGTGACCCTATTAGGTTGATGTTCATGCAGGCTGCTCACAATGTGTTCTTTGCAGAACCTACCATGCTGAGGGGGCCCAGCTGCTTTGGTGTGTTTTGGGGGGTGGGGGTGGGGGGCTCGGCACAAAACCACAAGGCATTTTCACGATTGTCTGGCTGCAGGGAGCCTCTTGCAGTCCAGCCAGCCCCTGTGGCTGGGGGTAGCCCTATCTTAGGGGTCCCCACCTCAGTGGCAGTGGCAGTAGCACCGTGGGCTGGGCTGCCAAGCCTGTGCCTGCTGTTGAAAGGGAGTCCAGAGAAGAAGCTCTGCAGGCATTTTGCCAAGCCTCTCCAGAGCAGAGGGAGCAGCATGGACTCCCCGCTAGAAAGCCACCAGATTGGAGTCCTGGGAGGGGGAGTTGGGGTGGGTATTTGATGTATACTTATCACCTGAATGAAGGAGTCAGAGAGGAAGAGGAGACAAAGATGAGTTTGGCCTTCAAAGCTAGGGTCTGGCAGGTGGAGGCACCATTCTGAAAGGAGGAGCTGGGGCTGGGGAATGGTCAAGGGGGCCAGTGCTCCTTCAGTCTGGGCTTAATGGTGTCTGTGACAAGTCTGGCAGCAGTTGGGATGTAGCTCTGGAGTTCAGCAGGGGAGGGTGGACCAGGCAAGACCCAGTTTTTTAGTTAGAGGTTACTGGGGAAATAGCTGAAGACAGTTTCTGGTGGATAAAATCACACCAAGGCAATGGGAACAGATCCAGGTAAGGCGACCGAGGAGGCACAGGAGAACGGACAGCCTCAAATACAACGAATGATCAGGATTTGAATCATACCTCCCTCAAGGCCACCTCACATCTGACTTCTCTGTGGAGGGGCTGTCCAGGTCGCCCCTCCTGAGGGGTCCTCCCCTCAGTACTGGGCTCACTGTGTAGGCGCTGTCTCCCTCTCAGACTGAGTTCCTGGGTCCTGGACCACGTCTCAAACCCCAGTACCCGCGGCTAGGTCTGGCTAGGCGGACGTTCTGGGAACTTCACTGGCTCTCCCTGTTCCCAGCGTCCCCCTATTCTCCAGCCTGTTAGCGCTGACAGCGCACCCCACGCAGTATCCGCGCTCCGAGTGTGCGGCTGGTTTATAGGCTCATCGGTCGCTGCAAACCAGATGCAGAGTCTCCGGAGACCCGAGCTCCGTGCCATGCACAGGAAATGCAGGAAGCTGGCGACAAGCGGGGAGAGGCGGCCCCGGATGTGGACAGACCCGGTTACCTGGGGTTCAAGCTCTGGGAGCCTAGGCACGGCAGGGAGAGACGCGCAGGCCCTCGCGGCCGCAGGGGGCAGCAGAGACACGCGGAGCTGCGCTACAGCCGATGGCCGCAGCCCCGCGCAGTTCTTGGCCTTTCTCGTTGGGTTCACCGTTGGGGAAGGATCGCGCGCAGAGCACAGCGCGAGCCCGGGAGGGAAGGACTCGGCTTCTCCAGATGCTTGGCGACAAAGGGCAGGAGCGGAGGGTGGCGGAGGAAGACCGCGCTGCACGCTGGGGCCACATGCGGCGACCCCGCAGGCATACGCGGCACCCCCGACGGCGCCCCTGATCCTCGCCGCCAGCTAAGAGGGGGCCGCGTCTCCGCCCCACAGCTCTGCAGCTGGGAGAGGCGCGCTGGGGTCCGACTCCACGCGAGCAACCCGACGCGCGCCGAGCCTGACACGTCCCGACCGAAGACGCCCGGGATGCCTCGCGACCACCGCCTTGCCACCCGCTCCTCAACTGGTCCGCCCGCAGCCCTGCTGGCCTCCCCAGGGAAGCGGATCCCGCCGCCCGCTCCCCGCTCCCGCGCCCCCGCCCCCGCTGAGTACCTGAGGCTCCAGCCGAGAAGAGCTCCTGGGCACTCGCGGCCGCTCGGTGACATCAGAGCCCCGGGCTCCGACTCCGACCCCACCTCCAGGCTCCGGCTGCGGCCGGAGGGGAGGCGCCACGTCCGGCCGAGGGGGCGGGAGCCGCCGCCTCTCGGTAGCGTCCGCGGGCCGGCCCAGTTCCAGGCCTGAGAAGTGGACAGTGCGTTCCCGCGCGGGGTGGCCTCTTGCCCTAGGCCGGAGAAACCTGAGCGAGGGGGTGGGAGGGCGACTACCGCGACCGCCCACCGGCCTCCAGCGCATCCTCAGCGCCCGTGATGCTGAGGGGGCCGGGTCCCTGGGGGCCTGACACCTCCCTCGGTAGGGAGGTCCGGGGCGGGCCCTCAGTTGCCTGACTGCTACCCGCTTTCCTCTCCGAGCCCAGCCAAGAAAACAGAGTTGCCAGGGCCTCGTGCCTCCCACCTGCTGAGTAACTCGCCCCTTGATCAACTCTTCCCTCAGACCCCCATTTCCAAAACGCTTCCAGCTCTTTGACTCCCACCATGGACTCTTGTGTCCTGTTCCTGTCCCATTTCTTTCCATTTCTCCCACTACCCCGCATGGTCGGGGCCCTCCAGCCTGCTACCAGGGTTGGGGGTGGGGGGCGGAGCACGGGGAAGCCCCTGTACTTGTATGCACCTTAGCTGTCCTGAGTGGGTCCTTAGGGAGCTGAACATATGCATACCCACTAAGGCTGGACGCTGGCGCTCGAGGCCCTCACCTTCCAGGATCTCCATTTTCCAAAGAACTCTGCCTGCACCTGCCACTGAGCTCTCCTTGCTGTGTTCTCAGGCTCCCCACTGCTCCTACTTTCCAAACTCTGTCCTGTGAATACCACTCTGCCAAGAAATCCTCCGTTCCTGAGAGGGGCTGGGGGCCCTTTGCTGAGCCTCTCCGGCTCTCAGGTCTCTGCCTTTGTCCTCCGCTGCCCTCCCCGTTCCACAGGATCAGCAGGGCTGGGCTCAGAGGCCGTGTCCTCCCATGGTAGTATCCTTGGCAAATAAAGGTTTATTGGTGTTAATAACCAGGACTCTGAACTCTGGCCAAGAGTCAAGGTTGCCACTTCCTAGGGACACTGGGAGCCTGAGGAACTCTTGGGTCTTCTGGGGGTTGGAGGCAGGAGACACCTGAGCCCGACTTCTGAGAGTGGTGCCTTCTGGGCCCTCCTCCTTCTTCAACACCATTGGGACTCAGGCATCAGCTTCAGCTGGAGCTCTAGGCTTTAAGACAGTGCCTCAGAACCTTTTGGCTTTGAAAGACTTTTGTTGTGTGTTTTGTTTTTTTGAGACAGAGTCTCCCTCTGTCGCCCGGGCTGGAGTGCAGTAGCCCAATCTCAGCTCACTGAAACCTCCACCTCCCGGGGTCAGGCAATTTTCCCTGCCTCAGCCTACATTTTTTACTTACATTTCTTGAAAACTATGGGGACACAGTGTCCAGAACAATACTATTAACCCACTCCACCCACCTACCCCTCACCTCTTGCACACACTATAGCAACTCTCTGCTGGGGACCTTGGGAACACAGTCCAGAGCGATTCTTATTAGCCCACTCCACGGACCTACCCCTCACCTCTTGCACACACTAAGCAACTCTACGCCTAAGTCCCCAGAAAACTGAAATCCTGCTTACCCATGTCTCTCTTAGCCTTTTCTGTTCTGAGAAAGAGAAAAGTAGTCCCTAACATCTGAAAGCCCCAGCTGGACCTTGGTGTTGCCAGAATTTGACCTGACATTCACAGCAAGGCCTTAGTGTCGTCCCATTGGACATAAGCCATTTCACAATACATCAACATGAGATAGGGCCATTCTTTAACTATGGTGGATCAAGACAAAAACAACAGCACTCTAATCATATCTAACACAGAAAAAGCATGAACATTGTCCAAGTCACAAAAATAACCTAATGTGAGTGCCTGCTGTCCTAGTTAATGTGAGTACCTGCTGTTTCTTTACCAATTGCAGCTTTAGCCTCACTCTAATCCTTCCCCCGTCTAGATAAGATTTATTAATATACCCAATCACAGAATTACTCTTGCTTCCTGACAGCATCCAGCACAAAGGAAAGTTCTGCTTCTTTAACCCTCTTGAAAACCACTAACACAAACCCAGATCCTATAAGTCCTTTCTAATGCTCTCTTCCTGAGATGGTCACATGGTTTCCCATGCTATGCGTCCTCCCTCACTTCAACAAGCAGTGAACCCAACTTGTTCAACTACAGGTGTGCTTGTGGTGGTCTTTGGCTGGAAGGCACTGACACTTCCTATCTCATTATTACAAAAGCACAGAGACTCTTGGAGAGGAGAAGGGGGAAGAAACTGCCACAAAGCTGGAGTCTCCCTTAGTGATAGTGGTTGGGGGGCTAGTGTGCATGGAGAAGGTGGAAACATGCACATCTTTTTCCAATACATAAAGAAAGATGTCTGCACCCTTCAGTATCTCAATACTTTCTCAGGCCTGGGAGAGTTCTTTTGAAGAGACCCTTAGATGGCTGTGTTTAGCTGGGATTAGAGCCACAGACCTTGCTGTTCCTGGCCCGGCCCTATATCAAGTAGCTGATAGGTGAGGAGGTGGTGGGCCTCCACTCCACAGTTTGGCACTTGTAATCTGAACTGATGACACCAAAGCAACTGCCCACCTCACAAGTCCCTTGCTTTGATGCCCACTCTCTTTGTTGGATATGGTTAATGTGATGTGATGATGAGTAGAATACTAAAGACCACTTCTTTAGTGCCAAGCACTGTGCTAAGTGCTCTATGTATCTTTTTAACCCTCTTACTCCTGAGAAGTAGGTATCAGTATAACCCCATTTTACAAGTGAGAAAGCTGGGACTTAGAGACATTACTTTGTCAAGGTCAGGTAGCTAATAAGCAGTAGAGGCAAAACTTAACCCCCTAATGTCGGGTTCCAAAGGCCATGCTGTCACGTGAACCGTAAAGAACTGTATGTTGTGGATGCCAATGCAGGCTTCCTAGGAGAGCAGGATTTGGACTTCAGATTGAGCAGAACTAGGAAGTGAGCAGGAAAGATGAGATGGTAGCAGCAGCGAGACTCCAATCAGGACTTCCCCATCTCTGTGTGTCCCCAACAGTCCAACACATATGAGGGCTTAGTTTCATGTATGATTTCCAGGGGTTTACTGTAAATTACTTATAGAAACATTTCTTTGTTTGTACCTTTTTTTTTTTTTTTTTAAATAGAGATGGAGCTGGGTGTAATGGCTCACAGCTGTAATCCCAGCACTTTGGGAAGCTGAGGTGGGAAGATCACTTGAGGCCAGGAATTCAGGACCAGACTGGGCAACACAGTGAGACACAGTCTCTACCAAAACAATTTTTTTTTTTTTTTAAGTAAGAGTCTCACTCTGTCACCCAGGCTGGAGTGCAATAACACGATCTCAGCTCACTGCAACTTCCGCTTCCTGGGATCAAGTGATTCTCATGTCTCAGCCTTCCAAGTAGCTGGAATTACAGGGTTGTGCCACCACACCTGGCTAATTTTTTATTTTTAGTAGAGATGGGGTTTCACTGTGTTGCCTGACCAGGCTGGTCTGAACCCCTGACCTCAGGTGATCCACCCTCCTCGGCTTCCCAAAGTGCTGGGATTACAGGCATGAGCCACCATGCCCGAACTTCACCTTTATTTTTTTCAATTGAAAGTATATCTTAGAATTTATTCAAAGTCAGTTCATAGGTGTTTTTTTTTTTTTTTTTTTTTTTTTTTTAAAGACAGGCACACAGCTATCTACTGCATGGGCACAAATAAATTGGGTTAAATAACCCTATTCTTGGACATTTAGGTTAATCCAGCCTTTTGCTATTACTATTTTAGTAATGAATACCCTTGTTCATTTATTTTTGTTCACATTTGTAAGTCCACTTACAGGATACATTTCTAAAAGATGAATTGGTGGGTTAAAGTGATGTTAGTAGATAAGATAATCACGAAAAAATTTTCCACCTCCCAAGCTTTTCTACAATGTGACTTTGCCACTACTCTACCCAGAAGAGGTGAGGTCTATTTCTCCATCCTCTTGGATGTGAGCTTAGGGGTGACAATAACTGCTTTGACCAATAGAATGTAGCAGAAGGTATGCTGGGCTAGTTCTGGACATAGCCTTTAACTGGCCTGGTAGCTTCCACTTCCTGCCTCTTAGTAGTGCAACTACTCTGAGACCATTAAGCTATGAGAAATACAAGCCATATGGAGAAGCCAAGAGTATGAGATAGCATGTGGAGAGGGGAAAGAGAGGCCAAGGAGCACTTAGGCATCGGACAGGCAAGTAACCAAGCCATCTTGGAAGTAAATCCTGCAGTGTCAGCCACTCCCACTGACACCATACTGATCAGAGAAGAATTCCTCAGCCTAGCTTTTCCTGAATTTCTGACCCTCAAAAACATGAGCACAATAATTATAAAAGTGCAAACTACTAAGTTTGGGGGTAGTTTGTTACATGGTAATAGACAACTGTAACAGGGTACATGAATTTTCTATTTTGATTGATATTGTCAAATCACTTACAAAGAGGCTATACCAAATTACATTCCCATAAAAAATGTATGCAAGTGCACTGAGATGGTTTAGATCTATGTCCCCACCCAAATCTCATGTTCGGTTGTAATCCTCAATATTGAAGGTGGGTCCTAGTGGGAGGCAATTGGATCATGGGGGCAGTTTCATTATAAATGGTTTAGCACTTCCCTGTTGGTCATGATAGTGAGTGAGATCTGGTCATTTAAAAGTGTGTGGCACCCACCCCTCCCCTCTCTTGCTTCTGCTCTGGCCATGTAAAAGGTACCTGCTTCCCCTTTGCCTTCCACCATGATTGTAAGTTTCCTGAGGCCTCCTCAGAAGTGGAAACCTGTGTTTCCTGTACAGCCTGCAGAACCATGAGCCAATTAAACCTCTTTTCTTTATTAATTACCCAGTATCAGGTATTTATTTCCAGCAGTGTGAGATCGCACTAATACACTCACTAACACAGTACATTATCAAACTCTTTTTTTAGACAGGGTCTTGCTGTATTGCTCAGGCTGGATTTGAACTCCCAGGCTCAAGTGACTCTCCTGCCTCTGCCTCCCCAGTAGCTGGGACTACAGGTGCACACCACTGTGCCTGGCCTCTTTAGCTTTTAAAGTGCAGTGGACCATCCTGGCAGCCTTAGTCCAGGTCAGAGTGTGTAAGTGTTCCCAGTGCCACCGAGACTTGGAGTGATCCCCTTTGCCCACCAGTCTTGGTGGGACCAACCCCTGCCCTCTGGGGACTCAAGTTTCCCTTCTGCAGAATGAGTGTTGTGGCCAGCAGCTCCTGGGCCTGTCCCCTGCAAGCAGCCCACTGCTGCAGGCACATGCCACCACGCCTAGTGCATTATCCAACTTTTGGATCTCTGAAATCTGAAAGGTAAAAATATCTGTCTTAATTTATATTGCATATATTGTAAATGAGACTACACACCATTTTGTGTATTTTAAAGCCATTTGCATGTGATCTGGGATCTACCAATTTTCTTTGCTCACTTTTCTATTAGATTATTGGTCTTAATGATTTGTAAAACCTCTTTAGGGCTGGGCACAGTGGCTCCTGCCTGTAATCCTAGTAGCA